TTTTTTCTAAACAATTATAACACTATATTACACGGCAAAAAAAATCATTAAAAAACGAAAACCACATTTTTTTTCGCAAACGTCATTGATCCTTAATAGTAACAATAGATGTAAATGAGTATAGAACTACAAAATACGTAAGTATAGTGTTAATGCATCCTAATTTAGTAGTCTACAATAGGGGTAGACAACTGATCGATTATGACATGAGTTCGAGTAAACTGCAACTCCCTTTCATTTTATTTTTTTCAGAAATCATATAAAATATTTATTTTTTTTTTTTTGTATATTTTAAATCTTTGCTCAACTCAGGAATATAAAAATTAGATGAATAATAATTAATAAAAACAGTTTACAGTAATAAACAACTATGGAATACATAATTACACACTGAGATCGAGTATGTATACTCGTATATATAACCCACATATATAATAGGTATAATGCACGCAGGCACGTAGTCAGAAAATATTCACTAGGGGGGCCAATGTTAGGTGGGCCCCCTCCTTTCCGACTTTTTTATATTATAAAAAGGTAGTTATCAGCGTTACGTTAACATAATCATAATCGCTAACATTATTATTACTACAAATATATAAGTATATAACCTAATAATACCATATTTAATAAAAAAAAATACGTTTAAATACATAAATAAAAATCAAATACAAATAATGCTTTTAATAATTATAATGATAATAAGATCCAAATATTTTAAATATATAAACTTAATTTTTAAATGGAATTCAATAAATATAATTTAGTATTAATATAAAATTATATTTCTATTTTTATGTTTTATAGAAAAATCTATTAACAAATTCATCTATGTCCAAACTTTTGGCAATTTTTTTTTTCGATAAAAATACTTGACAGTCAGACCAGTCGGTTAATTGACATACAATTTCTTATATAGTTTTTCAATCTTCCTAAACAAGAAAAAGTTTTCTTACATTCTGCGCTGTATACTGGAATAGTGATTGACAAAATGGTTAATTTATAAGTTTCATTAAATACAATTTTATACTTTTCAAGGAAATCAACCAGATTTATTAAGCTTTTAAATTTCATACTATTTTGGATTTCATATTTCTTAATAGTCGTAGGTGATATTTTAAATTCGGACAAAAACATTTCTAAATCTTTATTGTAGTGATGGACCAAAGGTTTTAATTGTTTGTAATTTAAAAATTTTCATTTTATGGATGTAAATAAGATAGGTATTGAATATAGTACATTTTTATTATTTGTAAATCTTTTGTAAAGTTCATTAATTATGTAATCTAATGTTGGTAAAAATAAATTGAGCTTTAAATCAGACATTTAAATGAATTTCTGTTTTTCAAAAGAACTTTTTTCTGTAAAAATAAACT